CCTTTCCTTATATTAATTTTAATCTCTAATAAATAAATAAATATTATATTTACATCAAGAGCGAGAGAGTTCAAATATAGAAATTCAAATTTACAATTATTTTCTCCTTTAAGATTCGAGTTTTGCACTTGATATCTGGTGGATACACCTATGTATTGATTATATTAGTTTTTCCTTTTTGTAGAGCAATTCATCTGATATTTATTTGCGTTTGCACAAACAGCAAAAAAATTTCCAGCTAATTTCAAACAAATAGCATACAAAATAGGGAAAAAAGCGGAGAGAGAGAGAGAGAGAGAAACATTTCAAAATAAAAACTTTGTTGAACTAAATGGCAAATTGGAAAAAGTAAGAAAGTGGAGAGTTGAAACTAAAGTAAAATTGCATTAACTATGGAAATCCAAAAGCAAAAGGGAAAAATAGTAAAATACAATATATTGTATATATAAAGCAAAATTGATACAGCTGTCGCTGAATGAATGATATAGTATATGTATGTATGTGAAAGGGTGCCAAGAAAGAGGAAAGAGGAAAGAGGCAGGGAGGAAAAAACATAATTATAGACATATATGCGCTATTGTTGAACCCATTTGAATGGGCCGTTGAGAGCCGTTGAATGTCATGTCTGCGGTTACCTGGCGACCGGGACAGTGTCTACTTTTCGCACCTGCAACCGATTATAATCAAGCACCAGCTCTCCTTCCCTTTCATATAGAGTTGACCGCACGCGCTCGTTCATTTGGGGTCGCTTGGCTAATGCAACGCTTTGCACAGCGGCCGGGCCAATAGACATGCGAAATGCAATTATTTTTAGCGCATGCAACGACCCGGCGCGGGGCACGCGTTGCGCATGTTTGTTGACAATTAATGAAAGTTGTTGTTGTTGCTGCTGCTGTTGTTGCGGTTGCTGGGCGCACCCAAAAAGCGTTGCTAGCGCTGTGAACTGCACTTTATGCATTAATTTCCGCATAACTCGAACACACAGCCGCAACTCAGCTGCAAGCAGATACAAACAAGAATCACACACACACACACACACACATACAAAAATATATTCATAAATGCATATTATATATATGTAATGCTTTTATCGAAAGACCCCCAAGCACCATACTGACCAATTGCATGAAAATTCTTGCACGGCAAACTGTAAATTTAATGAACGCATCCGCTCTTGGGTCAAATCCCCAGCCCGTTCACTTCTTTGCACGTTGACACAATGTGCAGCCAATCGAGCACTATAAAGGCCATGTCAACCCATCCTCCCCTAGCCCCTGCCCCTATCCCTATTCGGTATCTAGACGCCTTCAGCTCGCTTCAGCTGCACAGAAACGGATCTCACTTTGATGTTGTTTTAGTGGCTTCTCGCTCCCCCCTCTCTCTCTCTCTCACTCTGTTGGCGTTGCTGCTGTCAACGGCATCTCCCAGAGTTTTTTATACCCTGTTAATAAACCGCAAATTATGCTGGCTTCTTCTTCTCCTTCATCTTCTTTCTTTGACTCGACAGCTTTGTCTCTCATTTTTATTGCATTTGGCAATTGTAACCAAGTCGCAGACCTTTGACTCGCACAAAAAGCCCTTGTCAGTGTCATCAATTTGTTGACTTTTCTTGTGCTTTAAGAGCATATACATATATACATGTATGTAATATACCTAAATATATATATATATATATCAGAATAGCTGCTAGGAAACACGCCACATAAGGCTTGCTAATTACTGCACAAGTGCTCCATTCCCAACTGGTCTCATACCACATCTCCACTGGGCAGCATTCTCATAAAATTTCCAACAAATTGGCAGCACTTTTTCTAAATGACTAATTGACGCAAGCCATTTAAGAAGTTATTTAATATATGTTAAAAACTGACAAAAATGCAAATACAAATTGCAGATAAAATATTGCAGCTGTAAATCTCAAAGACCTCAAAGGAGCAAAGCTGAAACAGTTGGAATTTATATTATTTAGAGGCGATATGAACTAGACATTAATAATCAATAAGCAGAATGCTCTCTCATTGGAATATTGGAATATTATAGAAAATAAAATCTAAATAACGGAAATATTTACTAGCATTTGGTTCACATATTTCGTAATTGGAATGTAAACTAGGTCTGCAAAATATATACATATATCTCTCTTTAGCTTTAAGGCCATTTTCGAGTTGACTTTTACAAGATAAACAAGTTATTCCACACACACCCCCCCACCTCATAGCTAGTCTTTAATTTAACATTCAGTCAATCAAGCATGCATATGTTTAACTTTCCGTTAGAAGAAAGAAGAAGAAATCTATTTGGTTTCATTGGAGCAATAAATTGTTATAGATGGCAGTTAATCAGCTATGCATTACATTGAGTTCTAGGCAAATAGAGCCCAGCTCAATGCAATGCATGAATTTTAAAGCACAGTTACTCTAGTTCAGCGTCAAGTTTTAATCAAATGATACGCCGGCACTCCTCACTCGCCGCAGACGTTGAGTGCAATCGAGGCATGCCCCACAGCCGTCGCTGCTGCTCAATGCAATTCGTGGCCAGACAAAGGAGCAACGCATAATTCCAGTGTCACCAAACCAAGTGGATGCCCCTGCCCCTGCCCCTGCCCCGCCCCGTCCTCTTTTGTCGCCAACAAAAAACGGAGTGAAACGCGGTAAATGTGGCCCACAACAGCCGTGGAATGTCGGCGCGTCATTTGCATTCTTGGCATAAAAGAAAAATAAAACGGAACAACTGAAAAAGTTGGCAACAATCAACGTCCGACCAATTGAGATGCCCCTGCAACGTGCCCCCCTTCGCAGTTGTAGCTGTAGTTTTATTTCGATGTTTTTTGGCATGTTTCATTGGCAGGCGCGCTTAAAATATGCAGCAAAAGACGCGCAGCAGGTGGAAGGCCAGCCGGCTTGGCCTCTCTGAAAGAGCGAGAGAGAGAGAGAGCGAGAGCGCAGTGGGGGGGAGCCGAAGATGGCGGTCTAGTCACAGGAGCTTTTCCGCGCCCGCTTCTCAATTGTTTGTGCGAAACGCGCACGGCAAACGCCTGATAAAAAATGGCAGCGCTAAAGGTTGCCAACGCGTGGCAATTGTCGTTGCATGTTTCTACTCCTTGAGCAAGGCAGACTGACAGACTGACAGACAGCAAGCGTTGCAAGTTCTCAATTACAGAAAATCCAACAGTTTGCATTTGTGATTTTCGTTCAAAGTTAAAGTTAAAGAAAAAGGTAGAAACTCTACTCATTTATAGAAAATCTGAGAATTTCTTACTCATATAAATTCAAGTGTGAAAAAATTTTAATAAAAATTATTAATCATTATAAACCAACAAAAATTGATGATCTAAAACAATTTTGAACTGCAATCAAAATAAAACATCAGGATCCTGGGGATATTGAAAATAAATATAATAAAAGAAAGCTTTTCTTGGGTAGATTTAAGGCTAACATCATTTTTTTAGTCAAACCAATCTGATGAAAATTCTCTTCACATCAAAAATCCTCTTCAAAAAATTTAAAATTATCTTAATTTATATATTTCATTATTTATATATACTAATTCATTACTCCTGTAAAGTTAAATTTGAAAAACTTTTATAGAAAATATCACAAAATAACTAAATCACATGTGAGGCTGAAGACAAAAGTTTTGAACGTTTTCGTTTTGGGGAACATGCAGGACCTGCAAAATGTCACCGCCAGGGGTCGCCACCCGCTTCAATTGTGCGCGCTTTCGATAAACTACTTGCAGACACACAAATAAACACATAAACATATAGATAAGTGTATGTGTGTGTGTTTATTTATATAGATGTACGTACGTACGTATATAGAAATATATTTATAAGTCTGGTAACCAGTTGTACAACTGCTGCAGCCGTCATTTACGCTTGCCTTTCGGTTCTGTTCTATTTCGTTTTGCTTTGCTTTGTTGTTTGGTTTTTTGTTTTGGCGCAGTAAATTTGTTTTGAATTTATTTTTGGCAAACTTTTGGCCTATTGGGAAAATGAAGGCAGAAGCCAGCAGCTACAAGGCTGAGCACTGTTTGGCTATTTGGCCATTTGGCAAACGGGTTAGTATGGCCGTAACTTATATTGCTGGGGGTCCCCGTCGTTATGCGGTCTCCCAACTAACTTTCATCTGTCTGCCCGCTGGGCCGTATCCTGACCTTTTTCCCAACAATTATATCTAGCGTTGAGTCCTTTCTTTTTATTTTTTTTTTATTTTGGCAAACAAAATTTCACATAAAATTTGTTGCGCTGTTGTATTATTATCTGTTCGGACAGTTTATTTATATAAATATAAAAAACGAGAATTGGAAAATTGATTGTTTTTTTTTTTTTATTTGTTTAACGTATAAGCGATAAGGTGAGACTATATTAAATATGTGTATACGTATATACATTTATATAGTTGGGCAACTGTTTGCTTTAGCTTTCCCAAGAAGCCGCTGAGTCACAGTTGAAATATTATCTTGAACAAGTTTCTTAAAAGTTCAAACTTTTTCCGTAAACAAGCCAATCAAAATATTCCATGCCCCACGATGCCAGTCCACATTTAATCCATTCCATTTCAAGAGTTATTTGCAAATCAATTGCCTAACTTAATGCTAATTTCGCCAATTAAGAAATATTCCATAAATGTTTATTACTCAAATAATGTAACAATCTAAAAAATACAATTTCGAATCCATATTCTAACTGGCAATAATTGATAAAACCAACTACAACAAAGCGGAAATCTGAAACTGACGTCACGAGTGACGCGAATTTGTTTTTATCGGTCTCAATGATTAGGCGCAAAGGTAAGTATGAGTATATAAACATATACATACATATATATACACATATTTGCCTAGGCTAATAGAGAGGGAAATATTTCGACCTTGTCTCAAGTATTTCTCATATCAATTTTTGGCTTAAATTCTCAGTTAAAAGTGACGCGATTCTTTGTACTTGTAAAATGCTGGCAAGTTGAATAAAATAAAATACAGTAAGTATTATTTATATTTACTTGTATAAAAGGTATTCAAATATTCACTTTGTTCACTTTTTGCTAAACTCTTCTTATTTAGCTTCTCAACTTTTTGTAGATTCTGCACGATTTTTAAAATATATGTATACTTTTTTATTATTTTGTGATTGATAAGAGACGTCTTATCAGTTTACTTTCTTACGCGAAATTCACTTCAATAGGCACGTTTGCTCTACAATTGTTGATACCATTTAGTTTCACTCTTTTTTGCACTAATTCCTTTATAATTTTTGTGATGCTTTTTCTTTTGTTGTTGCTTTATAAAATATACTATAAATATCTAGAACCGGGCGCCGGGCTCATTAAATCTTTTGTTGTTTTATTTTTATAACATTTTTGGCACTCACACGCCGAGAATATGCAAAAAATTTTCGAGCGCGCACAAAAATAAATCGAATTTTAATTTTTTGTTTCTTTTCTTTCTTGCCGCACGACGCCGACGAAATTCGTCCGTTACGTTGACATTTTGTTTTGGATTCTCGACTGTTAATGCGCGTTCGGCAACAACAACAAGTGTTTGGAGTGAAAAAGATCTAACAGCGGTAGTAAATGTTGTGGCTCATTTCATGTAAACGAGCTGTTTCTTTGCTGTTGTACTCAAATTGTACTGTTCGCCCACTGTTATGCTCAGCCTGTGCTGTTAATTTGCTGTTAAATTTAATTTAAGAGCGAGTTTTTCGCTCTTTGCTGGCAGCCGCTTTGATAGAGTGCATATCTTTGCTCTTTGGCGACAGCTGATTGCCGCTCACAACAAGTGTCTTTGTATGTTAAGGGAAATAGGATATTCCCAACTTAAGAGTAACAAAGAAACAATAAATATAAAATATAATAATAAATGTTAAGGGACAAAACAAATCATATCATTTTTTTTAAAACTGCATTTAACTATTTAAGCAGCTCAACAAATATTAAAACAAGTCAGGACAATCCTTTAGGCTATGCGTGCAGAGGTCAACCTAGAGAAATCGAAATACGTGCATAAGTGAAGCCATTTGCATGCAGACACCATAAACTGCAAATGCTGCTCACATCTGCGATGCTTGGCCACTTCGATTAGTTGGCCATTGTGTGTTGGATGAAAGAACAACAAGTTAGCCAGAAGCTGGTCGAACATCGAGAGGTAGAGGTGGAGATGGAGATGTAAATGGAATCGGTCATTGTTGCCACTCGACGTTGCCTTTGTTCATCGCTTATATCCTCAAAGCAGACGCCATAAATCAAAGTACAAATTTGCACTTCAAGTGCGTTTTCAATAAGTTTTAGTACTCCGACTCTTTGTTGCTGTTATTGTTGCCTGTGATGCTCACATAAATCATAATTTAAAAGCTTGGCAAAGGCACACACAGTAGTAAAGTCTAACAACAACATAATGAAGTAGAACAAACCAAAACTTTGTAATTTTGTATGATGAATCCAAAGAGTTCGTAAAGAGAATCAGCTAGGGAGCGAGAAAAAGAGAGAGAGAAAGCTTCAGAGCGATCACACGATGACTAAAGTGTAAGCAATGAAAAGAAAAGAATAATCGAAAGTATCAACAACAAAATGGCGTAATCGCAGTGATGCGAAAAACCTATTGGCAACGGTTCTTTGACATCAGCGTATTAAAATTTTGATAAACTTAAGTGCCAAAAGCTTCTATCAGCATTTCTGCGAGCAACTTAATGACAGTTCATCATTGTACGACAACGTGATACGCGCGGGATTTCTTATTATGATAACGGCAAACGGCCAGAAGTTCAGCAGCTGTGAAGCCAACAGCGGCAGAAAGAGAGAGTGAGCATAGAAGAGAGACCGCAAAAATCTAACCCACCTTATCTTATCAGCTGCTAGAGGAGATTGAGAAAAACGAGAATAAGAAAGGAACAGAGAGAGAGAGAGAGAAGGAGATAGGGAGAGAGTGGACCAGTAAAAGAGCGACTGAATGACGTTTGATCTTCACCCCTGGTAATGTTAGTTATGACGGCGCAACTAATTCATATTATGATACTCAGTTATCAAATAATATATAGGGTATATAACTTTTATTCTGACATCGCGTTGCGGCACGAAACAGTTTCAGATATACATACATATATCTAATATATATTAATAGAAATTGCTAAATATGCCATAGATTAAGTTTTTATTTAAACTACCTAAAATAGTTTTTATATATTACGTAGTCCATTATACCCGACTCACTTACTATCAAATACTTAAGGAGCTCACATACATATATACTTGACCGACTTGCGATTGTGATAGGCGACACTTGAGAATGATTCATATGAAGCATCTGCGCAAATTCAATTGCAAATATTGAATTATTTTTCAGGAATTTCTTGGCATTTAATTAAATTGATGGAGACGGAAGTTGCAATTAAATCATCAAGTCAAAATATAAAGATGAACAGGCGCAAATTTGATGCAGAGATAAATGTATAAACTTTCAATTATTCTTTATAATGATATTATTGATATTAGAGACGGCAGTTTAAACGTAGACGTTGTATATATAGTTATATATAATACATGTGAATTTTATTACATTAAGCAAATATTTACATTTAAATGTACATACATACATTTATCAAATACAGAAAACTGAACTGATTGTTTTATTGTTTATATTCTTCTTCTAAACAATTATAGAGCATACTTTTAGGCTTGAAAAGAAAATGTTCTCGATCAACAGAGATGCGAATTTAGCTTTTTTGATGTTAAGTAATACATATACAATATAGAAATGAATAAAAAGTGTTTTAGAATTCTTCCCAATAGACCAGATGTTCGTTAATTAAACGTACGCTTGAAGTAATTAACAATATACCATGTGTCATATTTCATTTATTATTGTTACAACAACAACCTCTGGCATCACGACTGCCATCGCCGTGCGGGCATATCAAAAGCAAACAAAAATATCCCAAACACGAGACAAAAATGTATAAAAAGAGGGTTGGGCAGACCTCAACCAAGAAAAAACACAGAGAAAGAGATAAACAAAAAAAAGTAAATAAAAAGGAACGCAACTTAACCCGAAATCTGAACTCGACTAATTGCCAAAAAATTGAAATAAAAACCCTTCGCTGGCAGTCAACAAAATGAAGTGAAGAGGAGGAGGGCTGCGATTATTTATGCATTGCGGTAAGTGGAAGCACAGGTAAACAAGAGGATCGCGGACAGAAGCCAGCGAAACAGGATCAACACACAGCAAGCGCTGAGGGTCGACGGAGCGTGGTGTCTCGGGCCTCTGGTCTCCGGTCTCGGGTAGGTGTCATAAAATACCCAAGAAATTGAGCACAAAATTATGCGTAATATAAATCTGAATAATGGAAATTTTCAAGCAGTTGGCAGGAAAACCACGCGAATAGCGAATTATGATCTGGCCTGACGAGCAGATGAGACGGATTATAATATACAGGTAAGCTACCTGTGGCTCTGAAAAATGCTTTGACTGTATATAATTTATTTATATACGAGTATATGCTCTTATATATATATCTTAATTTAATAGGAAACCGTTTAACAAAGAGATATAGGATCGGAGTAGTTTGTAAATGTTCACTTGGTATAAATTCTATAAATATAAATTTTAAAATTTGTTTTCTATCATAATATAAATAAAAATTTGTACACAATTTAAGAACAAACAATATTTCAATATTAAATACCAGACTAAATGTTGATCTCATTTTAATTTCCATTATTAGTTTTCATATAGCTTTCATATACAATTTATATACAGTAACACTTGCAAATATACAACATATATCTTTTCGATTATTTCCATTTAAAGATTAAACATTTGTTACTTATCAAATTGATAAGACTAGAGGAATGTACATATTTCCTAACCTGCTCAACAATTGCGAATGGCTTTCAGGTTGTCACATGGCCGCATTCATTCATTCAGTTATTTTGCGATAAGCAACGTGAATATGATTTTGTGAGTCAGTTGGGGGAAGACTCACCTTAGTTTTGGTTTTGTTTACGATTTTGCGATACAGAAACTTGTACATAGCACGATAGCAATTGCAGCGACGACAGCGACAAACATACATCCAACTCTGCTCACGTTTTCACTCTATGAGAAGATCTCTATTCTCAATTTGACACGCACGATCTTAATTAAGTAATTATAACAAAGAACAATTAACAAGCGAACTTCATTTATTTTAGACAATATCGTATTCGATTCCGATTTTGAACGCACTGCGTCTCATATATCGGCAGTCGGTGTTTGTCTGTCTGTTATCTGTGTGCCTGTCCGTCAGTCGGTCGGTCTTTGGTCTGTGGTGTCTGCCGCTCGAAACGTCATCGATGACTAAGCGACGGTGTGAACGAGCTGTGATTGAAGAGCGCAGCGTGTTTTGCGAATTTTTGCATGTGGCCGCACACGAGCAGCACGCAGGTAAATACTCAAACGGGCCCATTTGAAATTAGAGTTTGAACGAGACTTTTGGTATTAATCAACAAATACGAAGAAAAAACAATATTTAAATAATAGCTATACCTTTACTGAATTTAAGCAATTTAAATTAAGTTAAATATTATCTTTGACCACTATTCAGCATTTATCAACATTTCATTAGTTTCGCTTTTATTAGCATAAAACTAAAACTACCCGAGAATGCGCTCCTGTTGTCAGTTTTGTTTACAGTTGCTTTTTGATGCCGCCAAATACAGTTGCTCCCACGTTGTTTTGTCCAAAACAACAAAAGCAACAATACTATAAGCTAATGTCAACGAAAAGTTCAAAAGCTGGGCACACTTCAAGTTAACGGCACTTTTTATTGATGCTTGCATTGTTGCCATTGCCTTTGGCGTTGTCGTTGTCGTTGGCATAGAATGCCAATGGAAACATTGGACAGCAGAATAATGAGAGAGAGAGAAGCACCAAAGTCATTAAAAACTATCAAATAAATTTAACAACAAAATAAACTCCAACTAGCAAATTAGACGTGGCAAAATGTGAGCAAACTAATTAGCCATAACGAACAGATGGAAGAAAATGGAAACGAGAACGAAAACGCGACTCAAAGGGGAAGAGCAGGTGCGGCGATGCCCTCGTTGGGTGCTTTTAACATTTGCAATTGCCAAAGGTGAGAGAGACGGAGGGAGAATGATGACTGTGAACAGATAAGAAATGAGTATTTTTTTTTTAACATACCTGTATCTCCAGTAAAAGCTCCTGTTTTTTTCTGCGCAGCTCAATCACCAGCTTTTGCTGCTCCGGTGTCAACTCTGCAAGAATAAAACATAATTCTTAAGCATTCGTTTGCTTTTGTTGTTGGTGTTGCTGCTGCTGTTGATTTGGTTAATTGGAACAGCGACATTCCACTTACACACACACAGACACACGAGCCAAGCGCACGTAAACAATACACACCCACAAGCACACGCACGCACACATATATCATTTTCCATGCACATATGTATAAGCTGCACTGGCAGCATACGTATGCGTACGAGCGAGACAGAAGATACTGACAAATCAATACAAATATCACAATTGTGCACATGTATTGTTGTTGCTTTTTTGATGCTGTGGCTATTTATCAACTCGCTGTGTAGATGTATTAATTGTTTTATTAGTTTAATGCCGCATTACGGGATTAATTCAATTGAAGGCCAGTTTAATAGACACACAAACATATACACACACACAGCCACATATCCACACTCGTCACGCACACGCCTACAATCAGCGTCGCTTGTTGCTTCCACACTTTTCATTTGGTCTCTTCGCCCCACTCGCTCGTAATTTGCATTTAGCATTCACACAATTTCACTTCAATTGCAGCTTAAACTAATCTTTATTGCCGTCGACCGTCTGGCTGAGCTTCTTTGTTTTATTGTTTACTCATTGCCCATTGCGTCGTGTTTACCTGGCATTGAGAATTCACTGCGCCCCTTGGATATCGCACCGTACGATCTGTTGTCAAAATTGTCCATTGCGCTTATCATTTTGGCGGGCACGGTTATCACACACGCACACACGTTGCACTAGTTTAACATATTTTGTAACTTTTAGGTATTTGCTAACTTTTTCATTTATTAAACGCAATTAAATTTATCATAAACAAATCAACACAAAAAATTCTTTCGCCTTTTTCTTTCCCACTAGGGATGAGCCGAATAGCGATGCTTAGTGATGACCAAATCGATGTATCGTAGCCAAAAGTGTTGCCACTTTGTTAAAAATGCACTCAGTTAACAGCACTAATATATAAATAAAATTTCAACTTGTATTTACACTTAACAGTTTTAAAATGTATAATTGTCCATAATGTATTTAATTGTCATCTTATGTTTGTTACACTTCACATTGCATAATAAATACAATATTGTTATAAAGCAGCAATGTAACAGAGATATCGACGGCAATTAACAGAGTTGCTCCACTGAAACCGTATTGACTCCTCAAAAATAAAAGCTTTGCCCTGTAACTGTTACGCGCTACCTTTAAATCTCGTGACTGTCTCACACCGCAAAATCACTCCTCACTAACACAGGCTGCCTGCAAAGACACTGAAGCGACTCCAGATTTCTAGAAAATTCCAAATATTTTTTTTAGCATAGTTAACAAAGCAACGTCAGGTAATAGAATAAAGCGTATAGAAAATAGTGCCGCTACTTCGTGGATCAGTGAGTGCGAAAATTAGTTAAATTTTAATACAGCAAACACGCTATAAAAGCAGCAACAGCACCATGGCAAAGTGGGGAGAAGGTGATCCACGCTGGATTGTTGAGGAGCGACCCGACGCAACCAATGTGAACAATTGGCATTGGACGGAAAAGAACGCGACGCCCTGGTCAAAGGAGCGATTGACACAGTTGTTCATTGACTTCAAAATAGGTAATGATTGTGCTGTTCTAATTGCTGTGCAAATTCTAACCTTAATTTCATGCGGCTGTTGTGCATTGCACGGCGTACAGTTCAAAGTGACATTGAGTGCGTAGTGAATAAAGTGGAGGAGTGCAACGGTGAGGCGACCGTAAACAATCGCAAAGGAAAATTGATATTCTTCTACGATTGGGAACTAGTGTTGAAATGGTCCGGCCGTCTGCTAAAGAACAGCAAGCTGAGCCACAACGGCAAGCTGACCATACCGAATCTGTCTGAGGAGAATAATCTGGAAGATGTAGAAATAACGGTTACCATTGACGAGTCGAACGACGAGTCAGAGACACTCAAACAATTCATGTACAATGTGGGTCGTGACCAAATTCGCAAACAGCTGGGCGTCTACATCAAGGAACTAAAGGAGGAATATTCCAAGAACTTGATACTACCAAAGAAGGATGCCAATAGCAGCGAAACCACGCCAGGCCAGGCCAAGGATGTCAACAATGCTAAGAATGCGGCACAAAAGGCTGCGGCGCAGATCCCTACGGCTGCCACGCCCATATCCTCCTCCAATAACAATGTGACGAGCAAGCCCGTCGGTTGCAAGCTGGACGTCCGTTCGCTCACCATGACCGAGGAGTTTCATTGCAATGCCAATGATCTCTACAATGCGCTAACCAAGCCCGAAATGGTCACTGCATTTACGCGTGCGCCCGCCAAAGTGGACGCCGTACGCGGCGGCGAGTGAGCATCAAAATTTGAATTTCATCTTAATTAGAATTTCAAATGACATTCGATTTAAATTCGCAGATTTGTGCTGTATGGCGGAAACGTGCATGGCAAATTCGAGGAGTTGGTGCCCGAGAAGAAGATCCAACAAAGCTGGCGTCTGAAAAACTGGGCCTCTGGCCACTACTCGAATGTGGTCATTGAATTGGAGGAAACTGTAAGTCAAACACTATATGCAAATATGTAGAGAAACTTGTGTTCTCTAAGCTTTCTTCATTTAGACAATTCCCTGCTTAGCCTTATATTTTGAGAACAAGAACGATATATTTTATTATACAGTATATTTGATAAATCAAATCTAATAGACTACACACTGACTGTTCATAAGGTGGAACACTTATTTAGGTTGTATATTTACATATAGTATAAATTAGATTTTACATAATCAAAAGTTGTGTTCGGGCAGCATCTGTTACTGAACTCCATTTGGGATTGCTGAATGAAACATTGTCAATTGTCAAATGAAGATAGCAAACTATAGAGTTTGATCTTTCTCGCATTAGTTAAGGGCAAAGTCTCCACCCCATTACCGACTTCTGTTAGAGGCTGCAAACCAGTTGAGGCGGCAGTTAGTTTTCTAAGAAATTATATTTGGCGACGATTGTCTGAAATGGCCTCATATCAAACTTATTTGTCAGCGCTTCTTCCAGTGAATCCAAATTTTCAGTAAGCAAACGCTCAATATATTCGAATTTGCTTCTGAGTTCCGATTTCTCATTTATATTGCAAATTTTGATCTACCGAGTTGCACTGAATATTCTCAAAACTGTCGATAAGGGCAATTTAGATATATGAGTATATATGTTTTGTCAAGCTTTTGATTAATGTCCTCAACTTAACTCATTGCTCGCTTGGAACTTGTTGATTATAGATTTTCGTCATCTGCACTTATTAGAAACATATTGTTATTGTTGTCTGGAAAATCTTTTGTTAGCTATAAAAGTTATCTAATCCTGATTAATATCAAGTATATAAAAATCATCATTATCTTTTAGTTCTTCATTTCAATTTCGAATATCTAATATGGACTGACAGATAGGTCACTTGACATTGATAAAACGGAAATATATAATGTTTATGAAGTTTAGACTTGTTATTCATAGATCTATAAATTATGTACACAATTCGGTATTCGCGTTAAGTATATATTTTTATATATTTCTTAATAATTATTTTATTGCTTTGCAGTCGTCAACCACAAAGATGACGCTTCACCAGACAGGTATTCCCGCCTCCGAGTACACAGGGATGAAGAATAACTGGTACCGATACTACTGGGTCAGCATAAAGCAAACCTTCGGCTTTGGCGCCTCCTGGCCACTGGGACAGTCCTAAATGCGAATCATTCGACTTCAATTCAAACGTGCTGCAAATTGATTTTCACCATCCTTTTAGCTATAATTTCTGTGCGGCTGCTTGCCAACTGCACTTTGTTACACACTTAAATATGCTATTTAATTATATATTTATATATAAATAGATAAACTGTTGGACAGCAGCAGCAGCGTCAACACTACACAACTACAATATAATTATGTCATTTAGTCAGTTTCAAGCTTTGGCACACACTCGACATGGATTCACACACCTTGTATATGGCGAAATAAACGAAACATCTTAATGAACAGCAATTCGAGTTTCATTTCAAAGACCAAAACCTGCTTCACCTGCTTCACGTTTTATTAATATTGGTTAAAATTATATCTCTAGTTCACTTAGGTTAGAGCTAGACTAGTCCGATCGAGTATCGCAGAAAGCATCGGTGGTTCAGTGGTAGAATGCTCGCCTGCCACGCGGGCGGCCCGGGTTCGATTCCCGGCCGATGCACATAAAGCTTTTTTATTTATTTATTTTTATATACATTACAATTAAACTGCTTTGTTATAAGTAAAATATATTATTAAAATTATATTAATGATTATATAGGGGACTCAAGGTTCCGCACTTTAATATCGTTGACAAATTTCATATCTATCCCATCAGCAAATTATTGTTTCAATTACTTTACGAATTCAAATTTGGGAATTGTAAAGAAATTGCTTATCAAGTAAATATTGATATGATAATATATTAATATATTATTAATTTCGGCAAATTTTAATATACGTTGGAGTTAGCTTTCTGCGTATTACGATTTTTCATTTTGGCTTCCCCGTTACACAAGCATCGGTGGTTCAGTGGTAGAATGCTCGCCTGCCACGCGGGCGGCCCGGGTTCGATTCCCGGCCGATGCATCACTATTTTTTTTTGTAAACGTATATTAACTTCCTAGAGATTCATAGGTATTTTATACATTTAGTTAAATTCGTTTATACATTTATTAGTTTAGCCATAAAATCTTCGTCTATATATACTATGCGCTAACATTTTTTTTTTTGCAAAAATTTAATCAGAGCTATGCTTATCCTAATATATACTTTTCCACATAAACCAGGTTTGTACATTTCATACACATATAGAAACATTTAATTTTGTAAATAATTTTTTAATCAAGTAGGTTTTGGGTTAGCCTTAAATTTAAAATCGAAAACAGAATTGTTTAAATAATAATAAATAAAAGATTAGTTTAATTCTAGCTTAAGTGCGGAACTTTTGAAGCAAATCCCATATGAGCATCGGTGGTTCAGTGGTAGAATGCTCGCCTGCCACGCGGGCGGCCCGGGTTCGATTCCCGGCCGATGCATGATTAACATTTTGCTTATTTTAAGCTGTGAATAATATATTTTATAATGAAATAAATTTTTTAATTACATAATCAATAAGAATCACAGCAAGCAGTACTTACCTGTGACGTGGTTGTTTTTTTTTTTTATTTTTTATTTTTATTTATTTTGTTGTTTTTTTAAAGCAGATCTTTAAGACTTGAATATTTCTACTATCTTATGTAGCCTCATGGATCTTCCACTTGATGTGTGCTCGAGTGCTGCTGAAAGTCTTTAAAGCTGTTACTCTTGAATGTAGTACAGGTAGAGCACTCGTAGATGAACTTGCCCGGATGTTTGTTCGTCTTTGTGATATGTTTGCGTAGATTGTCGAAGCTGCTACACCGGAAGCTGCAGTGGGGACATTTGTGTGGCTTCTCTCCGGTATGTTTGCGCATGTGACGATCCAGGTGACCTTTGACCAGTGCCCTGAATCCGCACTGATCGCATTTGAACCATTTGCCGTCGTCAAGCAGCGCCGGAACAGTCGCATGCGATTTGAGGTGCCTGCAAAAGAGTGGAGTATAGAGTAAAGTCAATTCGCCATTCGCTGGGCGGGTGAGAAAGCTGTTAAGTGTTTGTACACTGCGAGGCCATATTTAAAATCTTCGGCTTGATTAGACGTTAAATTCCAGTGGCGGCTGTCGCCCAAGCAACGCAGCCAACAACTAATTGCTAATTTCGCATTCGAATCGCACGCTCGAAATCAAAATACGAAATACGAGTAAGTTGGCAAAGTCGCGGCTTTGGCTGTGCCACTGCCATTGCCAGCGACTTTTGGGATGCCACCGATCAGTACTGGTAACGGTGACGGTGCCGCTGCCGGTAGCAGTAGCAACTACCTCCAATGCCCAGCCGCGCAGAAGGAGATCTGTTTTGTAAACAGCAGCAAAGCGCATTCACAAATAATCGCTCACACGAGTCGGGTTATTGGGTAAGCTCTGTGCGCTTTGAAATGTTTTTTGCCAAGTCAGTCATTATCAAGCTATATATACATTTATGGTTGAGGATACTTTGCTTTCATATGCACATTCCACAATTTGAATTCCAATTCCTTTTTAGCGCTTCTCTCGTTGATCGCCTAACCCATATGCCCAACTACAGCGTAGCGATACACGACTGAAGGGTGCTCACAGTTACGCGCCTTCAATTACGATGCCCGCTGCCCGGAATCGAGCTTACGAGCTGAAGCATACACCCCCACTCCCCGTAACTGGGGCCACAAGCAAAGCGAATCGAGGCCGGCCGCTCATTTGTAGACGCGGCTCCTTCTCCTGCTGCTGCTGCTGCTGCTGCTGCTGCTGGTGTGTTGTTGTCCACTCCCCTTATCAGCTACTGTCCGAACCGAGGACTCACAATTAATTGCCAATGTTCTGCGTGGTTGCCGAATTGGAATCTGTGTGAAATCTCAGGCACAGCCAACGGAGCCAACGGAGTCAACGGGGCCAGCGGGCAGCCGGCACACGGTTCGATCCGACTGCGCTCATGCGCATTCGGTAGGCTTAATTAGCGGCAAGTAATGTTTGCCGCTGTTGCTGTTCCTGTTGCAGTTGCAGTTGCAGCTTCGTGCTTGTCAGCAAGTTGTAGGAGTTAACTTCCACTGTGCCCTGTCCCCTTCACACACAGACCCTGCCCACGACCAGGCGTCGCTTTGAGCTGCGTCCGGCAATGCCGACAACGCGTCGAACGTCCAAAACGAGACCGAAACTGCGATGCGTTTTGGCCAGCCTTTGAATTCCAGCACAGACCGCGCTCCTTCCTATTTTTTCGCTCTTTTTTCTTCGATAGCTAATTGAAGATCTCGACTGCCAGTTAAGCACATCACAGCTGAGTGTCTGTCTTGCTCTCTACCTCCCTCTCTTTCTGCCTGCTTGCAGTGCAAAACAAACAGTTTTTAATGAACTCAGCTTTTGGTTCAGTCAGATAAAAGTTGAACTTGAGAACGTAAAGCTAGTCAAGTTTTATGCAGATTTGCAGAATGCGATACAATACCAAAAACTAAACTGAAAACCATACTTTCAATTTTCAATATGAAAATCTGTCAGTATTAGCCTAAATATTTAGATATTACCAATAACAAATTCTTCATTTTCAGACAAAATTTGCTTAAGCAAATTAAAGATTTTATATTAAAGGTATCATTCTTGCTAGGTTAGCCCAAGATTAGTAAAATCAAATTTTGCTCTTGACAATTTAATAATCGTATTCTTATTTTTCATGATTAACTAAAAAATCCTTTGAATATTTGCATATTAATTTTTGATTAACATGATGGCAAATCCTAAATTATATTGCATACTTACTTACCTACTTCTACTTCTATTTCTACTTCTACTTCTACTTCTACTTCTACTTCTACTTCTACTTCTACTTCTACTTCTACTTCTACTTCTACTTCTACTTCTACTTCTACTTCTACTTCTACTTCTACTTCTACTTCTACTTCTACTTCTACTTCTACTTCTACTTCTACTTCTACTTCTCACTTCTACTTCTACTCCTCACTTCTGCTTCTACTTCTACTTCTGCTTCCACTTCTACTTCTACTTCTACTTCACTTCTACTTCTACTTCACTTCTCACTTCTACTCTACTTCTACTTCTACTTCTACTTCTACTTCACTTCTACTTCTACTTCTACTTCTACTTCTACTTCTACTTCTACTTCTACTTCTACTTCTACTTCTACTTCTACTTCTACTTCTACTTCTACTTTTATTGCTACTTTTACGGCAATCCGAATGTTGTTTTAGATTAAATAAAATGAGCCGTGCAAAGCCGCTAATGTACGTTAGTCAAACAATGTAAATAGCGTAGCCAATGGGCAATTCGCTGAAATCTGTTCAATATAAAAATATTCAAATTCTGTGCCATATGAACAAAAGATGCCAAAGTTGTGTCCGCCATCAAAAAGCGATCGCAACGATGCGTTCGCAAAGGCTCCACGTTTAAGACGAAAAAACTCTCGTGTGTGTGTGTATGGGGCGGACAGCTGCACAGTGGCAAGCAACAGTGGCAGTGGCAGTGGCAGTGGCAATGCCAGCAATTGGCTCAGACTCTGCTGACTGCTTGAATGCAGATCGACGCTGTCGATGCACCGGCCTCCGAGGAGTGAAAGAGGGAGTTGCAGTTGGAGTTGGAGCTGCAGTTGGAGGTGGGTATAGCTGCTGCTGCTGCTGCTGCTGCTGCCGCTTCATACTCAAATGGCCATTGGAGAGTCTTGAAAATATTACAAGAATTCAATGCGCATATCAAAGGCGATCGATAAGTCACGATTTTGTGGTACGACTCGGTTGACTCTCAGCCGCCTCCAGCACCTTCAGCGCCTCCTCGAGCAGCTCCTCGTTGACTGCGATTGGCATTGGCCAGCTCAACAGCTTCTTGTTGGCTTTTGTTGCTATTGTTGTTGTTGTTGTTGTTGTTGCTTTCATCAATTTATGCAATTGCAGTTCAAAGTCTGCAATTATGGATGACATTTTTGCTCTTGTTGCTTCTTTTTATTCCCATTTCCATTTGCTTGTTCGTTTGTTTTGCTTTGCTTTTCTTTTTTTTGTTGTAGTTTGTTTTTTGTTTTGTTTATAGAAATTCAAATTCGTGTAGAAAAACTCGCTCGTTTATTTTGTGCGACTTGGCAATTGTCTGTGCTCGACTCCATGGGCAAATCCTGATTAGCATTTTGTAGATTTGTAATAGCGCCGCAACATGACATCCGCAGTTAGTCTCGACCTCGCCCCATCGAATAACGATTTCCAATGGAAATTTAAGTCGTTTATCGAATATCGATTATCGATTATACTTAATCATAATTGGCAACAATTGAGCATGTCTCAGTTACTAATTAACTAATTAACCCTTTATATGAATAAATACTTAGACATAATAACTATCGCACTTACCGCTTCAAGTGCAGCTCACTTTTGCCCACATATCTGCAGTTCTCGTGGTGGCATTTGTGTTGGCCCTGGGAGTGGGATTTCATGTGGGTTTTCAGGCCTTCGTGCGTGAGACCCGAATAGGAACAGTCCTTGCGAGGGCAATGGAATTGAGGCTTCACCTTCGTATGGGTCATTTCGTGCAGTTGAAGTGATTGTCTATAAAATGGAATGAAATGGAAAATTAAAGTCTGATTAAAGAAAAGTTTCGAAAATGTTGGCCAGCTGGAGCTGGGGCAAATCCCTGTGACACTCGACGTCACTTTGTTTGCTTTTATTTTTCATGTTTTGCATTTTATTAGAAATTTTTATTTTATTTTATTTTTTTGTAATTACATTAAATCAAAGCAAAAGTAATTCGCAGCAAAGTCACGTCGCTCGTCAGACAGTCGGCACGTTCAATGGATGCGGATACGGGACAGCGGCCCAGGCCTGAAGCCTCAAGCTGAAGCTGCCGGTCCAGGCCACGTCCATTCCAAAAAGGACCAAGCATACAACTCGTCGCCCCACAAAACCCAAATGCAAACTCGTTGCTAAAAACTTTTGTGCACATCAATTACGGATGCTAATTAATCGAAACAGCTGAGAGAAGTCGTCGTCGTCGTGTGGGACTCTGTTGACTTTAAAAATTGTCCAGCATTTTTAGATTACAGTAAAATCTATTCGGCAAGAGTTGCCAGAGAAGAAGCAGAGATTGTTTAGAGTAATTAAAAGACACAGCTGATGTAAAACAGGAATAAACACATATTGAACTCTCCCAATGAATTACAAAGATGTCTCTATATACCGCAGTAAATAATAATATACTTAAAAGCTGATGTAACAGGAATAATAAAATTAGAACTTTCCTAAAGAAACAAATCTTGAAAAAATACTAAAATAATACTAAAAAATACTAAAAAATATTAAATAGCTGGGGTAAATCAGAAATAAATGAATATTGAACTCACCTAATGAATTATATATATATATATATCCAAAATAATACTAAAAAATACTAAATAGCTGATGTAAATCAGAAATAATAAATATTGACTTCTCCTAATGAATTACAAAGATATCTCGAAAAAATACTAAAAATACTAAAAAAATACTAAATACTGATGTAAGAGCAATAAATAATTTTTGAACTCTCCTAATTAATTACAAAGATATCTCCAAAATAATACAAAAAAATACTAAATAGCTGATGTAAGACAGGAATAAATAAATATTGAACTCTCCTAAAAAATTACAAAGATTTCGGGAAAATAATACTAAAAATATACTATATTACTGATGCAAATAAAAAATAAACTAATATTGAACTCTCCTAAGCAATTACAAAGATTTCGGGAAAATAATACTAAAAAATAATAAATTGCTGAAGTAAATCAAAAATAAATTAATATTGAACTCTCCTAAATAATTACAAAGATATCTCCAAAATAATACTAAATATCTGATGTAAGACAGAAATAAATAATTAAGCTCTCCTAATGAATTACAAAGATATCTCGAAAATAATACTAAAAAAATACTAAATGGGCTCTCCTAATGAAATACAAAGATGTCTCGAAAATAATACTAAAAAAATAAATATGATGCAAGACAGCAATAAATTATTTTTGAGCTCTTCTAATGAATATCTCCGAAATAATACTAAAAATACTAAATGTCTGATGTAAGACAGGATAAATAAATATTGAACTCTCCTAAAAAATTACAAAGATTTCGGGAAAATAATACTAAAAATATACTATATTACTGATGCAAATAAAAAATAAACTAATATTGAACTCTCCTAAGCAATTACAAAGATATCTCCAAAATAATACTACAAAATACTAAATAGCTAATGTAAGTCAGAAATAATAAATACTGAATTCTCCTAATGAATTACAAAGATATCTCGAAAATAATACCAAAAAAATACTAAATGTCAGACAGGAATAAATAAATATTGAACTCGCCTAATGAATTACAAGATATCTTGAAAATAATACTAAAAAATACTAAATAGCTGATGTAAATCAGAAATAATAAATATTGAATTCTCCTAATGAATTACAAAGATATCTCGAAAATAATACTAAAAAAATAAATAGCTGATGTAAAACTGAATTAAATAAATATTGAACTCTCTTAAACAATTACAAACACATCTTGAAAATAATACTAAAAATACTTTTCTTAAGATGGAAGAATTATCGTGACCCTTTAGGCAGTTATATCAATTTCTCATTTCTCACAGTTTAGGTTTCTTGTTTAAATAATCAGATGGCATAGCGTAATACCGCTAAAAACTAAACAAGATTAAAATGGATAGCTCTCAGCAGTAAGAGCATTAAGAACTTGAATGAACGCGACGGCATTAATATGAATGCAAAAATGCAGAGTTGAGGCAATTTTCTCCCCCCCTCAAGAATAGATGTGCAGAGTCAAGGGTAGAGGCTAGTGGCTAGAGGGGGGCACAAGTGCAAGGGTGACATTTAACGGTAATTTCCGGCTACGATACTTGTGCAGTGACATCAAGTTTTCTGGCTGCCAGCCAGATAAGCAAACGGAGTTAAGGTGTTGGGCACTTCCCTAATTACACATGGCCCACGCCCAATGCCAAGCAACTAATTTCACATGCAGCACAGGACGAGCCATCAAAATCCAGCTAATGTCGCACAAGCGAACAACAACTTGCAACTGAAAAGGCGGCACAAGACTTACGTACCAATTACATGAAAGTTGGACAAGAAATGGGGCGCCTAAAGGGGGTGGGGGGCGGTGGCACTGGGTGGTATGGATATGAAGTTAAAGCTATTGAGGCGAACTCTCAGTGTGTGGGGGTGGGGATGGGAGGGACGGGCAGGAGTGACAAAGTTGAGCACATCCTTGTGACTGACACCGGAAGCAGTCGCTGCAGTCGCTGACTAACACCCGCGGCACAGAGCTTGAGCAGGATCCGGGACAGGCAAGACACGACGACAACGAACAGCAGCCAGAGAGACTGTCATAAATATTTATGCGAGTTTCGGGAACAACAATGCCAGCGCAACAGCAGCATTGACTGCGCCACGGCCAAAATCGCAAGCGAATCCCCAACCAGCGACACATGCGATTGTCTAAGACATGCCACCAACACAGAGAGACAGAGAGGAATAGAGAGAGTGAGAGAGAGGGAGAGAGCGAGAGGGAGACGCGCAGCCAGTGGCACCTTCGCATGCAGCTGACAATGAGCAGCAGGATACATTTGCACCTGCACCACCACCCGCAACATGTTTGCTCAGCGTCTTGAGCTTCCTGCATCAGGGCATCTTCAGCTGCCCCGCCTACCGCCTACCGCCAACCGCCCACCGCCTCCCGTCTTCCGCACGCCTCTAATGGATGGCGTGTGCAAAAGTTGACACAACACCGCCAACAGCCAAAGCCAAACAGCTGCTGCTCGACTCGATTCGGCTTCGACTTTGAAGCCAGCCAACCTACCCAGCCACCCAACCACCCAACCACCCAACCACCCAGCCACACAGCCACCTGACTGCAGAACAAAAGGGCAAAGTTTTCGTCGCCAGGCGTGAAACGTTTCGTCAACTAATCGCAACGTAGCTACGCAACTGCATCGCAACTACCACCCGCATCCGCATCCGCATCAGCATCCGCATTCGCATTCGCTTTCGCATGGGCGTGTTTAGCTCTTAAGTGTTTTGCCATTGCTTCAAACTTTAGCTGCTTAAAGGCTTCAAGCAAAGTCACATACATATGTGCAAGAAAATCCAAGTTTAGCTCAAGATCAGTTTCGGCTTGAGCTTGTAAAGTTTTATCAACTATATTATAATTATGCCATTGGCAGTTATGTGAGATCTAAGTATTTTCCGAGAGTTGTGATTTGATGAATCCATTGGTATGCACTGATATATAACAGATAATGTGTAACAGAAAAACCATTCAAAGAACTGACTTCAATCGTAATATTAAAATCTCATTGCGATACGGACTCATCATAAGAGATCTTAAGATGTTAAGGATATCTTAGCATGGAGATTGAAGTCAGGTGTTTGATTGGTTTTTCAGTAATATATCTTTAATGAGACTACTTGACTATATTTATATAAATGCCTATAATATATGCTTATAGCTGGATCTAAATTACAATGATGTTAAGAACTGCTCGACTATATATACATATATGAATATATATATTAATAGATGGTCTTTAATGCTCAAACTGATATCTGTGAATTGGTTTAGTTCACAACTTGATTCAACTTCAGTTAATGTCCCTTGGGATCTGTATAGGAAAAATATCAGAGAAGTGAAGAGTTAAAGCAAAGGTTCCGCTTGAGTTGAGGAAATAACTGTAAGGTGTTCTTAGCGGACCTAAAGAGAGAGAGATAGAGGGACAGAGAGAGGGAGCGAGCCAGCTGGCATCATGGTAAAGTGCAGCTGAGGAAATAAAAGTTAATGTTATAACTGCAAAATACAAGACGTACGAAGAACGAACGAAGCGAAAGATAATTTTGCTGCTTTTGCTGTTGCTGTTGCATCTAATTCGCTTTGCTTTTCTTTCAGCATTATGTTGCTGCTGCTGCTGCTGTTGCTGGCGGCGCCATTATCCCAGTGAATGGCAGCAGCAGCAACTATTTACGGCAAACTCCTGCAGGTGAAATGGCATCCTTTTGTCAAGTCTCGAACGGCGGCAGCGAGCGTCTTGGACAAGCCTCGAACTAGCAGCAGCAGCAGCAGCAGCAGCAGCAGCAACACCGTCTTCTTGCCACGCCCATCAGCCTCCGTTTGTCGTTGTCAACGTCGTTGCTATTCAAACTCCATACAAACTGACATTTCACATATCAACGCCATCGCCGTCGCCGTCGCCGTCGATGTTGTTGTTGCTGTTGTTGCTGGCCGCCCACGCGATGGCATCATTAGAAATGCATGACAATGTTGCCAACACCACCATCCGCTCAGGTGCTGCTGCTGTGGCCTCGCCCAACCGCCCATCCGCCCACTATTTGTTATACACCCATATCTCTGGCGCTCTGTTTTCCTTTTCCTGGCATTGTTGTCGCCGAGAGGAATTTAGATTAAAGATTGAAACTTTGTTAATGTCGCGCATTATTAAGAAGAATCTTTTTTACAAAAGCCAAGCGATGCATTAATTCCAAATGAGCACCGGAAATTAACACTTTCAATATTCATGCGAATGGATGAGCTCTCATTGGCCAACAGACAAACGGTATATATTAGCCAAGAAGCGCACTTTGTGTCCTAAAGATATTCTTTCTTATTGAAGTATTAGGTACATGAATATAAGAAAATATTTTCGATCGGAATGGATTTTTAATAGATTTAATAGATTCATAAAGAAAAAAATACTTTGAAAATTTGTATGTTTCGGAAATAAACAAATGTGAATTTACTTTTTAATACAAAAAAAGCTAGAGTATTTATTATTTTAATGAACATTTATTTTATTTTGTAATTCATCAGGTGAATAGAAAACTTAAATAATTTGACTATAATAATGAGCTTCGTTTATTTTTAGTAAATTTAAATAATTTTTTCTTATTATGCCAAATATTCTATGAAATTATATACTCTCCATATTTGAGAAAAAATTCTTGCTCGATAATTCTCGATAAAAACTGATCGCCTTGCAATTTCGAGTTATCGGAACTCGACTGTATATATTTCTGTTCTAAATAGAGGACTACCACTAACAAAACAAAAAAAAAAGTGCAGAGTATATCTAAGCAATTTGTTGTCCATTGCGCTAATTAAAAATGCTGCAAACAATAAACTGAAAGATGCCTCAGGAGCTGGCGCAGTGCATTCGTAATATGTGTGCGCTGCTCATATGGAAAATGTCATCCAATTTGCTGTGGCCCCTCCCCCTGCACCCTCTCCATGTTGCCGAAATAGTTTGTGGGTCGGGACTGTGGGGGGCGTGGCAAAGAAATGCAGCACGAGATGCGCCGCAAATGAGAATTGTTTTCAATTTTTGCGCGCATTTTGCATTAATTAAAAATACCAAGCGAAAAACGATTGCTGCAAGTGCAAAATAAGTAACCAAAAATAACTCATTAAGTGCTGGACATTCCGGCTATATTGCCCCAAAGGACCCACACACATGTGGCAGGACTGCAACTGGACCGGACACCCGCCACAAAGTATGCAATGCACTCGCAAATCAAGCCTGCGGATATGCCACGATAGAATGCAATTGTCCTGCCGTGCAGAAATACGAGCAGCATCCATGGAAGATAATGCTAGAGCACACACACACACACACACACACACTCTCTCTCTTTCTCTCTTAGTCCAAGCCATATCTTATTCGAATATTAGACTTTAGCATTACTTTTGTTGTTATGTTTAGCATTTTGTGATATGCCAAAGGCAACTGCGTCGATTGTGACTTGCCTAAGTTGGGATAGACTTGATTTAAGGATATTTTAAAAGAAAAGTGAGTCAGTCTCACTATTCATATATATAGGGATAGTAACTATATTAACGAAGGCTGTCTGCATTTTCAGTTCTAATAATACTTGGGAAGAATGAAGATAAAAAATCAGGAGAAGAATCAACTAGACTTCGTATTGTTTCAATTAATTTTTAGGAATCTTAACATTTATAGTAAATTCTGATAATTCAGCTGAAGTTTTAGCATAATATAGATTTAACATCCAAAATACACATTTCACTCTGCATGGATGTTATGTTTTTATAAACTTTTTACGCTCTGGAAACTTTTTAACCGTTTATAAACAATCCATAAATAATTGATTTGAAGTTGTCAAATCTCCTTAGCGAATCAAATTTTTTTTTGTGCCTTGGTGGCTAGTAATTCAATTATCAGAGCAACGCCACATACAAAAAAATAAAATAATAAAAGAGTTGTAACTTATTTATTTTATAATCACGATATATGATATTATGATATTATTCAATTTGGAACTAATCTTTATTTCATTTTACAGCTAAAAAAAAAACTGTTTCAATTCAATTCACGTTTGAGCTTAAATGACCCAACTTGGATACAACATTCAACATGGTCCATCTCTTTGTTTGGTCAGACTTATACCATTACTTGCAGCATCCCTAGCAACACAATCCAATGTGCACGCATTGCCATATGTTACGCCATCGCTGCCGCAGACAGGAGCATAAAGCAAAAAACAGGGACATACCGGGAGAGCAGTGACAGCATTCAGGATCAGCAAACTGAGGGCGATAACAGCGAAGAACTCCATGATGATGATCAACTCTTGAGAAGTATTGAAACAACTCTGAATTGTTCTTCAATTGTTGGCGTGTTTTTATAGCCCTTTAACAAGCTCTGAGAACGAGTAACCCGTTAATAAACAATGCATTAACAATTGATTAGTCAATTTATTCTATATGGGCTGGTGATTCTTTTTGGCGAAGCGAATGGAATTCGTTTCGTTTTTTGGCGAAATTCAATTATAAGAGCAAAGCCAATACTTTCAAGGTTAAGATTGGTCAACAAATTTAATCCAAATAAATAAAAAAGTAAAAAGGCTCTAGTCGAGACAGCGAGACAGCGCTTGGGCTGCACTGCGGTGTGGGCAATAGCATTTGAATTTATTAGTTAAATAATTTTTCTTGTAGACATGCATTCTTAATGAAACTTTTAGAACGTAATCATAATGTTCAAGTGTATGTACATTCCAAAGCACAAGTTTCTAGAACTTGAAATAATAATGAGTGAATAATAATGAGTTATCGAAAAAATATGATAAACTTGTATTGCGTCTGGTACACACGAGTATGTATGCCAAATGTCAGCTCTCTAGCTCTTTTAACTTCTGAGATCGACGCACTCATACGGACGGACGGAGGGACGAACGGACAGACAGACAGGGCTATATCGATTCAGCTCGTCGTGGTGATCAAGAATATATATACTTTATGGGGTCTGCGATGATTCCTTCTGCCCGTTACATACTTTTTCACAAAACCATTATACCCTGCTTTTCCATTTTCAATGGGTTCGGGGTATAGCAAGTAAGAAAGCTGTAGTCCAGACTGAGATCCCTTGAACTCTTCGAGCAACTGATATTTCAATAATTATTCGCATGTGCACACATACACGCACACACACAGACATACATAAACATAAACACACATTGGCTGCAGTGTGGGCTTACTATGGGAACTAACTGTTTAATAACTTTTCTTGTGGATGGACTATCTTCATGAAACTTTCAGATTATGAATATAACATAGACAGATATGCATGTATTTGCCAAAGCACCCACGCCTTTTACATGCCACAAATGATATTATGATATTATTGAAACTATTATTTGAATAAATAATATTATTTATTTCGATTTACATTTCAAATAAACTGCATTGCATTGTATTCACGTTTCACTTTTGATCAATATTCAACCAACATGGTCCAAGGCGTACTACTTCTACCTTGGGAGGGTTATCAGAACAGTTCAGAAGGCACTTGTCATATGATTTGCCGTCGCTGCCACAGACATAATGACGACCAACCACACAGTAATCCACACATCCAAAAATAGCAGTGACAGGATTCAGGATCAGCAGACTGAGGGCGATAACAGCGAAAAACTGCATGATGATGACCAACTATTAACAAGTACTGAAACAATTTTGAATTGTTTTTCAATTGTTGGCGTGTTTTTATAGGCCTTTAACAAGCTCTGAGAACGTGTAATCTGTTAATAATTAATCCGAAACTGTAGTTAATTTTATTAATATGGACTGTAACTATTCTTTAGCAGGTATTGCATAAAGCGAACAACATTTTTTTTAGTCTTGGTGTTTATAAATTCAATTATCAGAGCAAAGCCCATCAATACATTGGTGTTAGCTTCTGATGTTTGAATCAATGTTTATTTCGCTTCATATCTAAAATAAACTATTGGAATTCAATTCAATTGTATCATCCAATTTGGGTCCAATATTTCACATGGTCCATTGTGTACTTTGACTATTTTGACCCCGTTCAGTGACCCCGCCTCCTTAGCAGCACAGTTCAGTAGGCACTCATTGGAGTATGTTACGCCATCGCTGCCGCAGACAGGATATAAAATCTTGGGACAGGCACATGGCAGGAAAGCAGTGACAGGATTCAGGATCAGCAGACTGAGGGCGATAATACCGAAGAACTGCATGATGATGATCAACTCTTGACAAGTGCTGAAAAAACTCTGAGGTGTTCCCCAATTGTCGACGTGCTTTTATATCGTTAAGACGAGTAATCCGTTAATAATTAATCCTAAACTGTAGTTAATTTGATCAATATGAGCTGTAACTATTTTTGAAGTGTTGCATAAAGCGACCCAAATTCTTTAATCTTGGCGTTTAGAAATTTTATTTTCAGAGGAAAGCCAATCAATCTAAGGTAAAGAAAAGACATAAATTAGAACAACAAATTATATCAAAAACTCGCCACAAAGGAACTCAGTTCATGCCATATATGACATTGTGATAATATTAAAATCATTATTCAACAAATTTATATATGAATCCAGAAACTTTCTCATTTGATCAAAGAAACCTTAGAAAAGAATCAACTAGAATTGGTGTTAGCTTCCATTGTTTGAATTAATGTTTGTTTCGCTTCCTATCTAAAATAAACTATTGGAATTGAATTCAATTTGGGTCCAATATTTAACATGGTCCATTGTGTACTATGTGTATTTCGACACCGTTCTGTGCCGCATCCTCAGCAACACAGTCCAGTAGGCACTCATTGGAGTATGTTACGCCATCGCTGCCGCAGACAGGATCTAAATTCTTAGGACAGGAACATTCCAGGTGAGCAGTGACAGGATTCAGGATCAGCAGACTGAGGGCGATAACAGCGAAAAACTGCATGATGATGACCAATTATTGACAAGTACTGAAACAACTTTGAATTGTTTTTCAATTGTTGGCGTGTTTTTATAGGCCTTTAACAAGCTCTGAGAACGAGTAATCTGTTAATAATTCATCCGAAACTGTAGTTAAGTGTATCAATATGGACTGTAACTATTTTTTAGCAGGTATTGCATAAAGCGAACAACATTATTTAGTCTTGGTGGTTAGTAATTCAATTATCAGAGCAAAGTCAATAAATCTAAGGCGAAGAAACTAGAATTCTGATGTTTGAATTAATGTTTATTGGAATGCAATACAATTCTATCATCCAATTTGGGTCCAATATTTAACATGGTCCATTGTGTACCACGGTCAGTGGCACCTCCTTAGCAGCACAGGCCAGTACGCAACCATTGGGATATGTTACGCCATCGCTGCCGCAGACAGGAGCATAAAGCAAAATACAGGCACATTGCCGGCGAGCAGTGACAGGATTCAGAATCAGCAAACTGAGGGCGATAATAGCGAAGAACTGCATGATGATGATCAACTCTTGACAAGAGCTGAAAAAACTCTGTATCATTCTTCAATTGTTGGCGTGTTTATATAGGCTTTTAACAAGCTCTGAGAACGATTAATCCGTTAATAATTGGTGCAAAAATTATAGTCCTGTAAATGTGAAATTTAAAGCTCTCTATAATCAAGTTGTTCCAAATGGGCTTGTTATTGTTTTTAACGGGTACTGCATGAAGCGAACTAAATTCATTCGCAGAGCATTGGCAAAAAATTACAAAACACAAGTAATGTAAGTGTTATGGTCGGGGATTCCCGGCTGTAAAATACTGAATCATGTCCCAATCGCTGTGACTGCGATTTCGCGTAAATTAATAGAGGATGTCAGCTGAATGAAATGCTTACAGAAATAGTCTTATAGTAACCCACCTTTTTATTATTACTAAATCTCACAATGTCAATTTCCTGTATAGTAATAATCCGTCTAGCCTATCCGCTAGCTAAGCGTATTCATTTCTGTCTGACTCCTGGGACTACTGTCGGCAGATCCAAATCTGGCCATCCAATTACGTCTCGGCCATAACTAATCATAACTTGTGCAGTCTGTGCAGCCATGGCCAGGCACCGTGCTTGATGCTCGCTGCCAAGTTGCTAGCAACTAATTCCTTGAGCAAACATTAAGTTGAATTGCAGCGAGTCGCCGGAAGAGGCGAACGGATCGGAGACTGAGACGAGCTGGGCTAACTGAATGCATAAGGCAAGCGAGCAGAGACAGAGGGCACTGAGACCGACTGAGACGAAGCTGGCTGAGAGTTTTCCACTTTTCAAGTGATTATTTGAAAAATTTATTAAAATGCTCATTTGAAGTTATTGTCGGGCGCGCTTGATGTAGATACTTTGCTTTTACGACTAACGAGACCGAGTGGCCGGCAAGGAGACGACTCGCAGATCAACTCACAGACAGCCACAGAGACTGAGAGAGTGTGAGTGTGCGAGTGTGTGTGTGTGTGTGCCAGCAAAGTTTCAGCACGCCCCAGTCAAGCAAAGGACGCGACGTCGTCAGTCATGTCAACAGCGCAGCGCAGCGCAGCTCACTTCCGGAATTCCAGACTTGAACTAACTCAACTTTTACGGCCCGAGCAGCTCTGGCTGCTCTGCTGGTTAGCTAGGTCCTCTGCGGATACTTTGCCAGCATCAGCATCAGCATCAGTCTAAAGTTTGTGTCGTCGCCATCGCCATCGCCATCGCCGTCGTCGTCGTTGGGCAATTCACTTTTATTGAAATGGCGTGCAATGTTCTGTTCTGTTTGGCTGGATACGGAATCCGATTCTTTTGGCTTGGCTTGGCTTGGCGCAGCGCTGCGCTGCGCGACGCGGCTTGGCTCTGCTTCGTTTCGGTTTTTCGCATTTCCAATTCGCTGTTGCTTCTTCATTTCTTTTTCTCTATACTCTATACAGCGGGTATTACAAGTTTTATGTTACGTTTGTTAGAACTTTGATATCTACATTTTTATCAGAGCTTAACTCTGCTAGAGCAAACTTGGAGTTTTAATAAGGACTCGTAGTAAAGTGTCTCAACTGACAAGAATTTGTATACAGGGCTGTTCATATTCGACGGACTCATATGGCAGCTCTTTTGACAGACACAGACATCCCCATATAAGGAAACGAACTTCAATATTGTAAAAGCCTGTCTCTTATTATATATAAATGCATTATATATTTATTATAAAGAATGTACTTTTGATCTATTATAATATATATATTGTTTACATACAAAGATCGAAAGATTTGTATACTTTTTATACATTTGTCGGTATAAAATTAAAATTTTTTTTTTCATATTTTGCAAATTGAAAATTACTCGTAAGAGCATTGCATTTTCATCCTTCGTAGCTTTTCCCTTTTTGTGTCTTTCAGGTCTGCGCTTTTAGTTTATTTTATTTTGTATTTTAAGTCATTCCTATGCTGCATCATTCGCTGTCCGGGAGTTGATTCTGTTGATGGCACAAAGTGCAGTGCAATTCATTTTAATGGTTACTCCCCAGACCCACTAACAGTCCCAGTTCAGTTCCAGTTCCACTCGCACTCGCACTCGCACTCCCACTCTCATTCCTATTTCCATTCCCAATCCCATTCTGTCTCAGTCCCAATCGTTGGTGTCCAGTCCAGCTATTCGTTCCATCACTTGAGAGTCAATTTCAGCAAACTTGATTTCCCATTTCCAATGGCAGCAGAGGCAGCAGCAGCAGCAGCAGCAATCCGACGATTTAAGGGATTGGCATTCCTACATTCATTCATTTTTATGAATCTGCGATATTGAGTCGGACATTGTTCGGCTTGCGGTCGGAGCCAGAAAAACACACACTAAGTGGTACGTGTTGTGGGCTGCCTCTCGTCTCGACTCGTTTCGAAGCTGCCTCCATTTCCCAATCGCATCTGCTGCTGGTCATTGGCAAGCATTTGCCTGCCTGGATGTCTGGATTCCTGCTACTGGCAGCCGCATTCAAGTTTCCTTCTTTTGTTGCTTGTGGCATGCACTCATGAGCATCACGTCACACTGCATAACATAGTATATCAATTCGCCCGAGGGCGCAGATGAGATGAGCTGAGCTGATTTTGCTAAGGGAACTCATGGAGCGCGATGGAGTCAGAGTTCAATTGAAAAACATTTCGAAATAGAAATATGTATATACAATAATCCTATGCTACAGCATATAATCGAATGGAGATCGATAGAATTAGAAATAATATATAATGTTATATATTATGTACTATCATCTGTATTCTCTACTATATTAGGTAGGTATATAACATATACAGTCGAGTCTCGATAATTCGTACCCCGCTAAATCGAAAAAAATTCTATCCCCTTGAGAGAAATTCGTTCTCAATAATTCTCAATTCGAGTTTCTGTGTAAATCGATCCCCTGGCCATTTCAAATTATCGGGATTCTACTGTATTTAAACATACTTGAAATTAATGATTATATCTAATTTGAAATATATAAATATAACTTACTTTTTAGCCAACATTTTGCCACACGTGCCACATTCAAATTTCGGCTTGGCTCGCATCGTTGTCGTTGTCGTCGTCGTTGTTTTCGTTGTCTTGGGGGCATTTTCTGGATTTTCCCGTTGGCCATGAATGTTGGCCATGTGGCTCTTGAGATTGTGTCGCCTGGCGAACTTGGCCTTGCACTGGTCACACTCGAAGATGCGCTCGTTCGTGTGGTTGCGCAGGTGGGCGCGCAGCGAGTGCTTGCGGAAGCGCTTGGGGCAGCGCGGACACTGCAGCAGCTCGTCCTTGCCAATCGTTGGGCCGCGTACGTGAAAGAAGCGATGATAGAGCAGATCCGATTCGTATTGGGCACTGAAGCCGCACTGATCGCAGGGCCACTCATTGGCGACCGCGTCCATGGTGGAGGAGATCGAGGTAATGGGCTGGCAGCTTCGCGTGTGCCGCCCCAGGGCCTGGGCCGTCTGGAAGCTGCTGCCGCAGCTGAGGCAGCAGTGGTTCTCCATGGGATGGGCCTCGCTGCGATGCCGAATCAGCGCCTGGGGAGACTCAAAGCTCTGCTGGCAATTGGCGCACTGGCTAATCCAGATCCGCCTCCGGCCGGTGCCTGAGCTCGTTGTCGGCTGCTCGGGCTCGGATAGCGGATCGTCCAGCACCTCACGCAGCATGTGCTCTATTTCGGTCTCCCCCTCTGGCTGCACAGAGCTGCTGCATGGGCCACCATCCTGGCGAAGCATCGCATTCTGCTTATGGCTCAGTAGACTGCGATGCCGACGCGCAGCCAGTGGCGTCTCGAACTCCAGCTCACACACGGCGCAATAATATTTACTGAGGCGATGCTTGTGCTTCTCGTGGCGCTGCAAAGCCACGCGCGATTTTTGCGGCGCTCCGCAAATGTCACAGCGGAAGCGGCACTGATAGTCATCCGAGGCGCTGCCTGTGGGTGCCACGCCCCCGTGCTCCGAGGCGAAATGGCGTCGCAGCTGGGCGTTGTAGAGGAAGCCGGCCTGGCACACGGAGCAGTTGAGGTGCCGACGCTGGCCAATGCAAACGGGCACCGATCGATTAATCGCATGCAGCACCTCCATGTGCCCATTGCCCAGGAGATGCTGCCACATCTCCTCGTTGCTGCCGCACTCGAACTGGCAGTAGCTGCACCAGAAGGTGCCCCCCAGTCGCCCGGTCAGCTCGATGTGCGCGGAGGAACGCCAGTGGGCCTGCAAGGGAAATGTGTTTAGTCGGGTGTGCTGGACCTGGCAGAGTCATGAATCATGAATCTCACCTGAAAGGCCTGCTCCGTATTGGCATAGAAGCGACAGGGCAGACACTGGAACGGCGCCTGCCGCACAATGCTGCCCATGTGCTCCAGAATGGCGTGCAGCGAGGCGCTCTGGCTGCCCACCTGCGATTTGAGCTGCATGCGCCGATAGTGATAGTGCGAGATCAGATGCTTGCCGATCAGATGGCGCGCCATGCTGTGCCGGCAGAGCTCGCAGCGCAGCAGACGGGCGCGACGACGACGCCGCTGATGCATTTGCTCCTTCGCCGATGGCGCGGGCGGATGGGCAAAGTTCTTGTTGACCTTCAGATGGGCGGACTGGAGATTGGCCTGCTCCAGCTGGCACTCGGTGTCCGCGCGCCGCTTATGGTAGTTGCTGCGCAGATGCTGATCGTAGATGAGTCGCGTCTTGAGCCGGCGACAGCAGATGTTGCACCAATAGCTGGCGCTCGGCTGCTCCAGCTTGGTCAGATCAATGTTTTCCCGGTACTCCAGCTGCTTGCTGCCGGGCACCCATTTGCCGTGTGTGTGCTCGGCGGGCGGATGATCGTGGGCGTCCTCGGCCGGCTCATCCCAGCTGGGCGAGATGCGTTCCAGGTGCGTGTGATGCAGCTGTGGCCGCTGATCCGGCCTCCACTTGCCGCCAGTGTGCGTGGCGGGCACAGTCGGCGGCGAGTGGCGTCGCCCATCGTAATCTTCATCTGGATGGAGCTCGGGATCGAACTCTGGGTCCTGGTCATTTTCTGCCTCATCATCATCGCCATCAGACTCATCGGGCTCCTCCTCCTCGTCTTCCTCCTCGCTCGCCTCCGGCGAATGGGCAAAGTTAAGCGTCTTGAACACCGGCTCTTCATGCTCCCGCACCGCCTTCAACAAAGGATCGGAGCACCGGTCCGCTGAATGCCAGCTCTGTTCCTCCTTAGTGCCACGTTCGGATCGTGCGCCCGTCTTGCCGCCCGTGGAGACGCTCTGCAGCTGCAGCGAGGAAAAGAAGACATCGGCGCCCAGCTCGTACGTCGGATCGTACGCCTCAGTTAGGGCTTTCGACGTCTTGCCCCCATGGCTGTCCGTCGTCTTGCGCAAGTAGCTGCTCGGTGCTTCCGCCTCGCCAAAATTGAACCCATCATAGCTATGCTCCAAGCTGGAGCGCGTTATAACTGTGCGCGTCACGTGCGCAGAAGTCGCAGATGTCGTTGCCGTGGCCTCTAGTTGCTTCTCCTTTCGACTGCCTCCCACCATGCGCAGACAATGCTGCTTACGATGATAAATGTATTTGCGCAGACCCACAATCGTCGCATGGCACTTAATGCACAGGTGCACATCATCCACATCATCCGATTGCGAGTTCATAATTCCGGGATGTCTGTGCTGGAAAGTAAACGATCAGAGAGTTACCGATGGGAATGAGACGGGTATCTGATATGATATTATTCTAAAGCTGAACGATCAGGTAGTTATCGAAAGGTATGGGATAACTATCTGATATGATATTATTCCAAGGCATAAGCATTACGGGGTTGTCGAAACGAATATCGAAATGAATCATATTTGATATGATATTATTCGAATGCTTAATATTTAAATTGGTTTTATGCTAAGGCTCCATTTGCTATATTTTAGATCTAAGATCTGTTCAGAAGAGATCTCATAGTTGCAATGCGCGATTAAAATGCCTTCAATTACGGTAACAATAATAGATTGGACCGTTATTATTATCGAATTCTTAGCACATAGCCATACTAGTTTCTATACCTCTAAATGGACGATATTAATGTTTATTATTAGTCTAAATTAACGGAAAGAGACAGATCCCATATTTACTATGTTCAATTTGTAAACCTTTAATTACAAACAGCTTGGACAGTTATGGGCCGTCGATCGAACTTCTGGTTCTTAGCCATAGCACTTTCTCTACCTCTACATCACCCGCTTGATGTTTACTATTGGCCTAAAACAACAAACGATATTCGTCTATGTTCTTGAGCTCGATTTTGATTGAGTGCACCAAATGGACTCTGTGATTTATTGAGATCTCGTCCAAGCAGACTTTATGCCACAAGCAACTAAGCGCTTTGGCCAGCGCTTCATTGGCCAATCGGTAAATAAACAGAGGTCGTCTATAGGCTGGCCAGCAGTGCAGGCAACGCCAGTCGGCCAGGGTCATATTTCAAGCCCAGTTTATTCATTAGCTGGCTGTGTCGCACCGGTTGGGGTAGCCAGCCAATCCTGTTGCCCACTCCCAGTTGCATCAACATCACCACAGCGTTGACATGCCGGCGCGCCTGTGCGTATAACAGCTACGTAGTGCCTGTTCCTGCCCCCAGCCCATGCCGTTCCCGCTCCTGTTCCCGCTCTCGTCTCATTCCGTTCCGTTGCCGTTTCTGTTATGTGTTCCTGTTTATGTCCGTGTCCGCCTGTTGGCATTGCGGCCTGTCAGAAATGAAGTTTATTGCGTCTGTGTAGCGTACGTGTCGCGCTCTATGCCCCTCTCCTTCTCTATCTCCCGCTCACTCCCATATGCACGCACTAGCTCTTACTCGCTCTCTCTCTCTCAGCGTTACGCCTCGCGATGCTAACTGTAAAAGTGTCATTTCCGCCATATGTGAACGCGATGAACGATGCGTCGCTGTCGACGTTGACGGCGACGTCGACGCTGGCGCTATTGTTGTCGTTGTTAATAATTTCACAGTACAATTGCAGCAGCAGCGACAACAACAACAACAGCAGCAACAGCAACAATCAGCGGCAGCAGTTGGCAGTGGCTGCTGTTGGAATTTATACAAACGAGGCCCATGTCTGAGGTTAAATACGAAAAACATAACAATTCTCGCCCACTTTCGCCCTTTTACCCACTCACCCACTCACCCACTCTCTCTCTCTCTCTCTCTCTCTGTCGCGTGGGCGGATGTCAAAGCATTTGGCGCTGCCGTTGACGATATGAATGTGAAACTGAATGTGAATGTGAATGTGTTGGAATATGGAATACGCGCATTGGGCAAGTGAGAGCGCAGCCAGCGAGGCTTTCATCCGTCTAACGAGCCAACGACAAGGACAATATTGGGAGCAGACGGTTCTAAACGTAACGGGATGTGCTCCATTGTTGCCGTTGTTTTTGTTGTTGTTGCTGTTGAGTGATAAACGCGCGTTTGTTTAACAATTAACGTGCTTGAAACACATGCACAGTTATTTAGACAATCGCTCTCTCTCTCTCTCTCTCTCACTCACTCTCTTGCCATCTCTTAAGCCAGCTAACTATTGTGACTCTTACCAATTTTTATATGCCTAATTAGTAGGCTGTCTAATTTTCAGCAGCATGCCAACAACATTTGTGTGTTCTGAAGGTGTGTGTGTGCGTGTGTGTGTGCTTGTGCGTGCCTTGTAATTCATGATAATTGCTTATTACACATACAAATATTTACATCGCCTTCAGTGTGCGTGGTAAGCGTTTAAGCAACTAATTGCCATCTAATTGCACATATCCTGCAATTCGTTTGCCAAGAACCAAACTCAACGGCAAAGCGAAGACAAGTGTTACGAAATTAGTAACACACCTGGCGAGGCGCTCACAGCTGATTATTAGTGGAAAGCATTTGCTATAAAAAAAGTAAAGCCTCTATGACAATCTAATTGTGGGCGAGCTCAAAAATATTTTTCAGAAATACGCTCAAGACCTATTGGATCGGGTCTTGACCTAACACCTCCAGAATTGACAAAAATATAGCATATAATATTAATAATAATATGGCTTTTAAGTAAATAAATTTTTGTAAATATCTATTTAGATTAAGTTACCAATTAGGTAGCGGTGCGCTAAACTGTATTTTATAATTTCTCTTAAAAAAAAGAAATACGCTCGAAAGTGTGCTATAATAAATTTTTTTTTGATTTTAGTTTAATTTTTGTGTTTTTAATTATAGGTAAAATATTTGAAAATAATTGAAATTATTTACAAGTCACAGTTTTTACTCTTTTTTTTTTTTTTAATTGAATTACTTTTTTGTTTAAAAAAAATTTTTTTTTAGGTTTGTTTTTATTTCGTAAAATTACAAAAGCAAAAGTTTGTAAATTATTTATATATGCTATATTATATTTATTAATGTTCTATTAATATATAATTTTAATTTATTATTTTTTTTTTTTAAATCCCTTATAATTTTTTTTAAATGTTTACCTAATTTAAAATACTTTTATTCTCATTTTCTAATTTACTTAAAATAAATTTTTAAATATATTTTTTATTTTTTTATTTTCAGATAAATTATTTGTTTAATTTGTATTTTGTTTGCTTAAATTTGATCAATAATTATAATCTATTACGTTTTCACATATTTTTTTTTTTTTAATTTTCATCATTAGGGTCTCTGTTTAACAATAGTAAATGTATTAAAGCAATAAAAGATTGAGAGGAATGCTTTACAAATACCGTATGCGAATGATTACAATGTGTGTAACACATACATAAGTGAGTCTCTCTGAACGTGTGTGTGTGTGTGTGTATGTTGTTAGTGGCACATAGACAATCATACAGCGCACTTATATTGAGGAATTAAATAATAAAAGCAGTTAAGAGCTGCACAAGCACAATTGTGCCATTATTTGCATTTGTGACAACGTCGACGGCCAAAGGCAATGGGAACAGCAGCAGCAACAGCAACAGCAACGGCGCCCATCAACAACAATAAAACCAATGGCAAACAGCGACAGCAACAGCAGTAGTAGCAGCAACAAAATAAGAACAACACACAACATTGTTGAGGCCATATCATCAGGAAGAACAGAGCAAAGCGACAGGCTGGCAAATTCCAGGGACAATATGAACGGGAGAGAGAGAGAAATCCTCGCGTGGTTGTTTGATTCGAAAATTGAGTTTTAGCGGCGCAAATAAAAGTAAAACTTAGAACAGAGCAGCAGCAACAGCAACAGCAACAGCAACAGCAACAACAACAACAACAACAACAACAACAACAACAACAACAACAACAACAACAACAAAAGCTTAACCATTAAAAAGGAGTTATCACCCAATTTAGCACCACAAGCGCGAAATAACACACACACACACACACACACATGCACACACAGAGATGGAGCAGCGGGCTCTAACTCGACATGTTTGTGCAACCAACCCATCGGCGTCAGTTGAACAACAAATAGACATACTGTACAACATGGCATTTATGTCAGACCCAAGCGGTTCCATATAAATGGCTTGTGGGCGTATGGCAGGTGGCTGGAGCTCGGAATGGTTGGTGAACGAAATCAAACAAAGAAATATGCATGTAATATAAAGAAAATATGAGGCAAAGAATGTGATTGGAATGAGTGAAGAGGCTAAAATCTGGATTATCATATATAGTTGAAATAGATCACAAGTAGATATGAAAATTTAGAAATTATAATAGCTTCAATAATATAGCCAATCAAGTAAAATACAAAAATTATATGAGCAAAATAGTGAATAAAATATGAATATATATTGAATATGGATTATTGATATATATATATATATCATATGATTTTACAATATAAATTATTTTCCAGTCTTTGGAATTGATGAATTATGCAGTAAAATGTAATGTGTTTTAAGCTGCTGAATGGAAGATGAATATGTATTGTTATAAGTGTATATCATAGTTGTTTGATTGATTGATTGACTGAATTGACTGATTGATTGATTGATTTGTTTAACCTTGATGAATCATGTATGAACGAGATGATGATGGATGATGTGATTATGTTATATATATGTATATACATATATAGCAATTGCTACTCAGTCTATGTTATATAGTTTAGATAATCATTGATCATATTGGACAAACTCTTGGCCTCCTCCGCTTCGAAAGCAATTTCACGCAATTTGCTGCTGATTTTGCGCACATCGTCGATATAGTTGAAGAGCAGCTGCAGCAGGCGCCCTTGGATCCACTGGAACCAGTAGTCCACCTCCGAGCTCTGCTCCGACTTCCGATGATCCAGGAGAACCTTCACACAGGTCTGCGCAATGTTCAGGAGCAGACAATTCAAGTCTGTGCTCTGATTTTCCTCAGTCACACGCATATGGTACTTGGTGTATCTGACGGTCAGGTTCAGCAATTCCCACAAATACATTTTGACCAACTCCGACTTGAGCGAGGGATTGAAAACCCAGGCCACCACAGCGTGGTTGCTCACAATATGCATTTTCAGCAATTTGTCGGCGACCACCAACTTGACGTGCTCGTTGTTGGACCAGACCTCAAACAAAGCCCGCAGCATGGCCAGCTGATGGGCATCGTTGTTGACCAACACCTGTTGGATAGCATTTGAGTGGATATATCCGCTGTGTGGGCAACTGCTTACAGAAACTCACCTTCAACACTGGCTGA